AGGGGAAGGGGGAGGGGTGGACGGGGAAGGAGGAAAGGAGAGGGGTGAACGGGGAAGGAGGAAAGGGGAGGGGTGAACGTGGAAGAAGGAAAGGGGAGAGACCAAACAAACGGAGAGTGATTATGCGAGAGGTACATGTCGCAAAACTTACCAACGGTACTTACATGGGCATTTTTTTCTATCCAGAATAAACTGTACCCAGCCTCAGTTGTACATTTTGGATCTCAACATCAAAGAGGTTAGAGAAAAGGTTTCTAGTATGATGTGGCACATTCTTTTCAATATGTCTGATTAGAACTTGCAGTTTTTCGAAGCAGCAACGAGATATTGAAAAATAATGTAATGATTATTTTGTATCATAGGACACTACCTTTCAACGAGACAACTTGGAAAGCTGTCGTCAATTTCAGATGCAGAGCATTCTGTTGTTGATGCCGGGTAAGACGATAAACCGAAAAAAGTTTAAACATATATTCACAGTCATTTATTCATCACTTCACGGGTTTATTTCGAATCAACAAAGTGACCAGCAAACAGTTGGCTTGTTAGCTCAGTTGGCAGAGCACTGCAACGGGACCGCAGAGGTATAAGCCTGGACTGTTTTCAGTCTTTATTTTCACTATAGGTTAAGTAGTTTTCATTACTGCGAAGATCACTCTCGCTTTCATTTATTGATCCGCAGTTCACATACATGATATTCAAATATACACAGTCATTCAAAGTCTAAACTGGGAGTCGTAATGGCCGTTTGGTAAGCCATTTTTAGGATCAGAGTTACAAGGCCACAGTTGGCTACGTATTTAAAGATTCGTACATTGTACAGGCGAGAGAACAATAGGACACGTAGTCCCCTACTAGGCTCACCCGCCTAAACCAATCCCAACCCACCCATCCCACCCTAGGGGAGGACATCCATCACACAGTAATCTCGTTCGTGGGAAATTAACGTCTCCTACCCCTAACCCTGCAGGAGACGGGACCTCCATTTATCAGTCCCTATCCGAGAAGACTAGAATATCTAACCATTTCTTGATGTTATAGAGAGGTAGCATATTCTTCTCAATTATCTTTAAGACCTTGAGTGTTGGTCCGGCCGGGTCTCGAACCCTCGACCTCCCGCACAACAGTCCAGCGCTCTATCCATTGAGCTAACAGGGAGTGGGGGACACATGAGGCGCCAAGTGTGTGCAATGAGAGAGCTCTTTGATTATTGCTTTCGGATCAGTCGCGCTTGGGTTTAATTTTCGGCCGCGATCAAACGTTAAAATTCAAACCTATCTGCGACAAAATTCTTTTTGCAGAGATTTCAGGCAAAATTTTGTAATACCACTCGAAGCGTGGTGCGCCACCACTTTTATCTTCACAGTTCATATCTCCACGACAGAGTATGAATGCTTTATGGTTATGGAGTCCCGCAAGAAAATACTGGGAAGGTGAAGTTGGGAGGGGGGGGAGAGGGAAGGAAGTGTGCAGAGAGGGGGGGAAAGAGGGAAGGAAGTGTGTAGAGAGGGGAGGGGGGAAAGAGGGAAGGAAGTGTGCAGAGAGGGGGGGGGGCCGGAACATGCGATAGGCTAATGTCCTTTCCGATTTGGGTTTGGTACTTTTTACAACGCGACTGCGATGAGCAGTGTATTTTAGTACCTATCCTTGCTTGTTTTTAGAGTTTTGACGGTTCGCGCTGGTTCAAGACCTGATATTGGAGACTCGCTGGTCAGCTCGTCTACTGTGCACAGTGAACAGGGTGCAGATACATCCTCAAATGGGCCTGGTCTCCATGAGGAGCTGAATTCCGCCTCCAACAGCAGTCCTCGCGTTGGAAATACTAGTAAAGGTGCAGTGCCGAAGTGGTTCAAGGGCACAGGTCAGGGTCTACATTTTTCTTAGCGAAACATTTCCAAAGCTTAGTCTGTTTGACGTTGATACGCTCTCTGGGGGTGAGGTTAACAACTTTCCATGAGCAACACTTTCGCTATCTACCCTCTCAGTAAATGTCGGTATGAACCCCGCCGACCACGTTTACGGCGCAACATGGAATTGAAAGGAGTCATGGTTAAAAAATAATAAATCGTATCCCTGCTTGTGATAAGAAGGAATAAGTTGAAACGCGGATGTAGAGTACAAGGAGACTTTGGCATAATCGTACAAATGCTTGATGAATATGTATTTAAGATTAATTGTTCACTTCGTGTGTTCTCCAGTGTAAGTTATTGAAAATACTGTTCTTTACATTTTACTTTCCAATTCTTATTCTGTTTTTTTTTTTTTCTTTTTAAATTTTTATTTAATTTCTTGGCATGTGAATTCCTCTGCAGTACAATACAAGGCAACATAAAGTCAAACGATCGGACGCAATCAGCTGCTGAGGGATGGGACCAGAATGCAGAAGTTCGACTAGAATTATGACAAAGAACTTAAACTAAATATTCAAGAAATAAAGATGATCTTAAGCCCGTGCGTTAGGTCAGATTGTTTGGAAACAACATTAACGCATTTGGGTAAGTTTTGTGTCGGTAAATTACGATATAGAAGAAGAACGTGGCTTTCAGTTAGCTATCGTCCCTCGTCACTCAATTTCTTTTGAGTACGTCTTGTAAAGACCAGTGACAACCTCCTAGTGTAGAAGTCACGTGGAATTTTTTCCTTAGGACAAATGCTGTAACTGATCACTTGAAGTACTTGTCATGTTACATTCACTTACAAGATGTCGATGTAATACTTACAGATTGTGATATTATAAATTGGGTTTCTATTCCTTAAAAGCTTGAAAATTGACTTGATATTTATTATTAGCAGAAGCAAAAATAATAAAATAAAAATATTTTCACGTGGGATATGCAAGTTAATTTTATCTCCCATTAACTGAACTTCTGTGAAGGTCTGACTGAATATTTTGGAGGGAGTGTATTCTACTTAGAAGACTGTTCGTTCTCCAAAATAGGAGGCCTATCGGAATTTAGTTTTGCGTGTGTAGTCTGGTTTCCGTAAGCTCCCTCTGTAATCTTCAATTATAATTTCCACTTTTGGAAAATTTAAGCAAATGTGTCAAAATGTTCTATGCGTTCCCAGGTGTCCACGATGAATGCGTTTCTAGTTTGAAGAGGAGGGATTAATTACGGTTACTGAACTCTTTACTGATAAGTGGCTTAAACAGGAACTTGTGTAAAATCGAAAGATAAGAAAAGTTCAACAATTGAACGAGTAATTATTTAATTTTGGGTGATGGGAGAAACTGTGTTGGGAAAAAGGAACTGGGAACAGTTCCCTTGCCAGCCCATTCCCATAGTTTTTTTAGAAACCCACCTCACAGCTAATCTCCGCTCTACAACCGCTGACAAGCCTCAATCAACGTTGCGCTTTTTCCTGAGAGTGTAATGACAGTTTATAACCCGGTTGTAAAACGTCTCTATTTAACACTTATTACTATTGTGATGAATTCGTCATCAAGGCCTTCACTTGTGACTAGGAAAGAATTCACTGTGCAAATTACGGACTCGGTAACTTTTAATAAAAACAAATATTGGAGGAACATTTATCGTACATATTTTTTTATTGTTGTGTCACTAAAGTAAATCTCGCCTAAAGCTTTCCTTACCTTGATATCAGGAAGTTTCTGTACGTTCCCACTTCGTGATATTTCTTGATCCTAGGGGCACGAAAATAAATTGTACACCCCATGAAATCAAACTTTTAAAAATATACTTCGTATAATTCATTGATTAACATGTCTCTTACGATTTTTACAAACGTGAGGCACAACTAGGCTATGACGTCAGATCGTGAGTCAGCTGTGCAGTCAGCTGAAACCGGGAGTACAGTACTCACTTCCGGAGACTAGGTAGAGTCTATTTTTGTTGTATCGACGTCATTCACTCGGAAGTCAATAGTCGGCCATCTTGTCAAGACCTTCAGTGTTTTAGTGAAAGAACTTCGGCAAAGAGTGCCGCAATCCTCACTGGTACCCCATCGGTTTTTAAGGATGGGGATATTTTCAAATTCTGCAAATTTTGATTCTCATCTTGGTAAGCTCCAAGTGTTACAATTATCTTGTGTAAACTTGTTTCGGAAGTCAGGCTTCCTTGCTTCAGTGTTGTTTTCGAATTTGACTTACCGTATGTTATTTATTAATCTTCAAGAAAAAGCAACGAGTCAGCTTCTTTTAGAGCCAGACTGGAATAGTATTCTTCAAATTTGTGACTGTATCCGACAAGAAGATGTGAAGTAAGTGTACTTTTCAATTGCAAGCTAGAGTTCACAACTGCATGTTAGTGACTATAAATTCAACTTTGCTCTGGTGGTTGACCAGCTTAAGTCCTACAATTTATAGTATACATTATGACTTCTTCCGTTTATTTATTGTATCTTTATCTCATTGACAGCCCCAAATACGCAATAGCGGCTATAAAGAAAAAGGTGTTGGACAAGAATCCTCGCGTTGCGAAATTTGGATTGATAGTAAGCGACTAGCATTGTTTGATATTGGCCAGAATTTAATTTTAATTAATTTTGTACTTTCGGGTAGATCCTTTTACTTTTACTTTTATCTGATGTATAAAGACACATTTTAAATGATAAGTCTTTAAAGGACCTGACATATAGTATAGGATTGGATCTCTAACTTTCTCGCCCTGAAAACACTGTACTTGTTTTGAATTTTAAACAGCCACACTCCAACACAGCTGCTTCAGCAAGCATCACATACTGATTTTAGTTTCCACAATGTAAGCAAAATATCATGCTTCTGATGTCAGTAGCTGAAGAAAGCCTAAGATTCACCAGCCATCATAACAGTTACAGTCATTAGCTTTCCCCATGGCACTTGAGTTTTCCCCCTGGTTTGAAGGATAGTGTATTGTGACATGTACGTCTAGAATAAGACATCGCATGATACACTGTATTAAGGCTAATGTATCAGTGCCTGAAAGATGTTGATATAATCATCTTTGATTTGATGTCATGTGTGATAACAGAAACCCTTTTGAAGAGGATAAATTCTGCCTAATGTGTAAAATTGAACAGTGAAATACAGTAATTATCCAATAGTCAAACCTTCAATGCAATTGGTCTCAGACCTCCTCTGAAATGGCTTCAATTTCAGTGTGCTTAAGGAGGCTCCATAGGGGTTTTTATTGTGTGAGATCTGGACACAAACATAACACACGCTTTAAAATTATCAACCAGTAAAACAAACATGGCCGCTCAGTACAACCTCACAATTATTATCTAAAAAGGTGCGTTAAAGAAGTATAAGACAAAACAGTTTTTTTGTAATGGACTTGAGGGTTTCCAGAAAGGTGACAGATTCAAAAGTTTACACATCTCAGATAATTATCAATCTTGACAAAGTGCTATTTTGTATTGTAATGTTTTGGGGGTTAGAGTAAAGAGATTGTTCAAATGAGATATATTGCATTTCCTTTGGTACATTGTAAATTGGCTCAGACCTAGCCACATACAGCTGTGCAGTTGAAAATCAAATAACCCACTTTTGTTAAAATCTGTCAGAGGTAAATCACTGGAGGGAGAACTTTTAGATAAATTAATGTTTCCTTTAAGAGCTCTGTAGGAAGGTGTAGTCATTAAAATTAATACTCTGGGGAGTCACATTAAGGGCAGTCTTTGATCTCACTCTTTGGCTTAACCCTTTCACTCTCAAGATGTTATTAGTATTTCTTCTTCTATCCATCATACAATGCAGGGCTGGACACTAATGGCTGCCAACTTATAGCCACAGCAAATGAATAAAGGCTGATAGTTTCGAAAGAAACTGTTTGGGGCTGCATCAGTGGGAGTAACGAAATAATTTGGATATATCAACAAAGTTGAAATGGTAAATTGGCCACCGTAACGATTACAAAAGCTGACGTTTCAAGCGTTAGCCCTTTGTCATTCAGTTTTGGCATGGTGTTCCATTTCCACAAGCCAGTTTGGCTAGTAAACAAACTGAAATTGTCACAACATCTAAGATGTCACCAGCCACTAGGCTAGCGAGTTGAAAAGTTAGAGTTGAGCCCTGCAATTCTTACAATGTTAGTTTGGAGAATTTTGTAATGGATTGACTAAAAATCCCCTAATTGATAATTTCCTTTGTTCTCATTACTTCTCTGCTGGATATTGTATTAATACTGTAAGAGAAATTTTGTCTTGATCACTCATGACAGTTGAAGGGTTGAAAGCAGGGCTCGAAACTAAATGAAAACTAACAACCATTAGCCAATGGTTAGTAGTTTTCAATGTTTGGTTACTAAAAATGTGTCCAACTAACCCGACATGGTTAGTAAAATTTTCTATCATATTTAAACATTGGTGGACTTCAGGACAACAAGCACGTAGACCCGACTTTCAGAGGAATACTTACAATACTCAAGTTGTTAAATCAGCTTAAACTATTTTTAGAGAATGTGCTGTAGATGTGCTATTCTTGACTAATCATGGTAAACGAGAGGGAAATAAAATAGGTGCATAATTGTCAACATTTTTTAGGTCATCATGCAGTTTAATGTTACTCTTTAATTTGTCCTAGTCGTTATTATCAAAATGTTCAATATTTGAGATATCGTAACTTGAATTGTGAGCTCGGATACCAAACTTTATAATTTGGTTAGTAAAAAAGATGTCTACTAACCCGAAGGGTTAGTGATCCAAAAATTGAAATCAAGCCCTGGTTGAAAGTAATGATCACACAGACATAGTTAAAATGGTAGAATATTAATTGTGAATTTGTATGATCAGAAAAGATTGAGAATGTTTTATTTACATCTCAATAATCTCATGTTCTCTCATCATTAAGGTGTTAGAAGCATGTGTGAAGAATTGTGGGGCTCCTATGCATAAAGAAGTTGCTACAAAAGAGATCATGGACTGCTTCAGAGAGCTCGCCAAAGTAAGAACTAAACTATGATCCTCAAAGTTATCACCAATTTGGTAGATATTAGAATGACAAACTTGTTCTTTGTGTATACTGACCAAGTGTAAGAACTAAACTATGATCCTCAAAGTTATCACCAATTTGGTAGATATTAGAATGACAAACTTGTTCTTTGTGTATACTGACCAAGTGTGACAGGAGATATGTATTTTAACATCAGTGTTTAGGAATGTTTACCAATAGTTAGTTTTAAATGAGGTTACCACTGTCTATGTGATAAATTTAGTGACCCTCGGTAACTATGTACTATGTTTTTGCAAGAGGTGTGAGAGAAGTATGGATTTTCAAGGGGCATTATTTTAGCTGAATATTGTTGCTGTTGTGAGGGGGTGGGTGGTTTTTGGATAGCAAATTCAAAACTGGGGAGGCAAAGCTTCATTTGATGGGAATGAATTTTGTATGGTCTCTTTTGTGGTTGACTATACAGTTAGAAGGTAAGGTTAATTTGTGCTCTTTGTACTTCAGTCAAGCCCAGATCCAGTCAAAGAGCAAATTCTTAGCATGATTCAGACATGGACGACTGCATTTCGTAAAGAGCCAAAATATAAAGTTGTCCAGGATACCTTCAACCTCATGAGAATGGAAGGTGAGGTGCCCAGTTGTTTTCATCAGTTTCTTCCAATCTTCCTCAGACTGAGCATTATGAATGCACTTTATCAGTAGAATAGTTTATACTTAAAGTTACTGTAACAGTGAATTCTTGCTTTTCAAACCTCAAAAAGGAGGAATGTTTGAGGGTGTAGTGTACGTAGCAAAGTTGGTAATGAGTTTCCTTATTCCTCTTCCGGTAAACATTAATTTGTTAGACATGCCGAGCTAGGTTTTCTATTAAGAATCAACTGGGGTGGACATGTTTGTCTCAACTGTTGTTTTGTTTGTTTTTCATCCTCCCTACACAGGTTATAAGTTTCCTCCAATAAATGATTCAAGTGATGCCTTATTCACAGCAGAAACAGTAAGTTTCATGATTGTAAGACTTCATATCCTGAGTGAATTAAAGCAACTGGGCAACCAGTTTGCAGAATTATTTTAACATTGTTTTTAACATTTATATGTTCCAGAGGTAAAAACTGCTGTGCCAAATAGCCTCCATTTGTACTTTACTACTGGTAGATGTACTGTATAATATTAAAATGTCTGTAACTGAAATACTTAGAACTTATTACTAATTCTTCTGTCAGGCTCCAGAATGGGCAGAAGGTGATGTCTGTCACATGTGTAGGGTCAAGTTTTCCACATTTCAAAGACAGGTAAACAGTAGTTGCAGGTATTCATGGGACTATTATTGCAAAAATCAGAACACCATGAACACTCTGACTTGTGTCTGACACATCAATTTAAGTGTATGTAATGACCAACCACAAAGCTAAAAATCACAAACTAAATACCATTGATTGCATTATGTTTGTGGTTAAGGTTTATCACACCCTTTGACTTTTTCCCCAATTTACGAAATATTCAAATGAAATGTAATTTCAGGTGTTATGGTTTTTTCTGAGTTTGCCATTAAGTTAAAGATAAAGAGACAACACGATGAACTTCCAACAACCGACTCTGCATTATTGGCATACTATTAGTCATGAAGCTTACTGACAGACAGTAAAGCTTCTTTTTATAGTCTTCAAAGCTAATCCTAAGGAAATATATTATATATTTAACAATTATTCCACAAGCGCACGTTGGATATGAGATGATAGATAGCCAACGAGGCGCGTAGCGCCGAGTTGGCTATAATCATCTCATATCCAACAAGTGCGAGTGGAATAATTGTTTTATTAAATTTTATTAAATTTTTAGCTCTCTTTTAATTTTAAGCTGACACGTA